AGAGAGATAGCTGGATGAGGAAAGGTTAGGCTGGTTGTTATGCACTCTGCAGTTGCGTTTTCTGTCGATACTCAGACATGAATTGTGTCCACGGCGGATTCCAGAGGGCAACCAAGGCAACCAGTGCCCCAGCCATAGGAGGTTGGGGACCAGGGGGCAGAAGCATTTGCCAATTGGTGAAAAAAATAGAAAAATAATTGGATACAAAATGAAGATGGTTAAATTTCACTTTTGTTAGGACTACCCTATTATTTAAGAGCTTTGATTCATAGGGCTGAAATCAATTGTAAACCACTAAGTTCCATTCATCAGCCAGGAAACTGCTAATCTAACATCAATAGTACAAGAACAACTTTTCCATTATATGTGACCATTCATTCAAAAGAACATCTAAACTATCGAATTACTTAATAAATTAACGCCCAATCTGAAAGTTACTATATAAATATAAATTTGTTCTAATCACCGCAGAACTGTCTGAATTTCCTTACACACTCCCACCCAACCTCCAGGAGATTGGTATTCTGCTGTGGAAGCAATGGGGTTGACTGGTATATAATAATAATAGTCCTTGCATTTGATATAACACATTATCACATCTTTGAGACATTTCAAAGCGCTTCACAGAATATACTGTAAAGTGAATTAACCTTGTATTTTGTAGGCGAAACGCGGTAGCCAATTGCACATGGAGGATCCCACAAACAATCATGGATTGAGTGACCACATTTGTTAAAAAAATTTGACCATTTCTCCTTACACATGGTCGTATATTTTGATAGGAATTTTTTTCACATCACCCAAAGTTTTTTTAAAAAAAATACATTTTTATTTGTTAATAATAACAATCCTTTGATTTCATATAAGATCTTCAAGATGCCCTCTTGACATAAAAGATGCTATATAAATGTCAATTATATTGTATACCACCTTTGACATCAGGAGAATGTCTCAAATTGCTTCACAGGATTTTACTGTAAAGGGTAGTGATTGTATTATTTATATATAAACACACCACAACAACAACAACATTCCATTTATAGAGCACCTTTCACGTCGGGAGGACGTCCCAAGGCGCTGTACAGTTGGGTCAGGACCCGAGCAGGGGGGAAATGGTCAGGGTGAGGGGAGGGAAGGGAGGGAGTGAGGAGGGGATAGAGAGTCGAGAGGGGAGCTGAAGGCACGGTCAAAAAGAAAGGTCTTGAGACCGGCCTTGAAGGAGGAAAGGGAGGAGGCGGCGAAGGCACTGGGGACACCAGCTGAATTGCACACCACAAATTGGAATAAAACAAGTTCAGAACTGTTGTGATTCATCTGGTATGAGAGAAGGTTTTTTGTGTATTATTCCTCTATACTTTGTTCATTTAGGTAAAATATATCAGATTGGTAAGAGCCGTATAATTGTGTTTGGTCTCTATGGCAGAGCTGGTGTAAGAGCTCCAATTGAGTGTCAACAAAACTGAGGCCCTCTTGCTTGACTCCCGTCATCACCTCCATACCTCAGGACCTGACAGGATCAGCCTTCATGGATGCACTCTACATCTCATGGAGCCAGTATGGAACCTCAGCATCTTGTTCGACCCTCAACTGTCCTTCATCCTCCACATCCGTGCCATGAACCCCTCCACCTTTCCTCCCTTCCCAAACATTGCCTAGCTCTGCAACTGTCTCTCACCACAGGCCGCTGAAACCCTCATCCACACATTCATTACAACCAGGCTCGACTACACACGCACTCTGCTTGTCGGCCTCCCCAACTCCTCCCTCCACAGGCTGCAGATCATCCAGAACTCGGCAGCCCATGTCCTCCACCCTATCAACCCCATCCTTGCCCAACTTCACTGGCTCCCTATCCCCCAGAGGATAGAGTTCAACATCCTCGTCCTCACCCTCATGGTCCCCCACAGCCTTGCCCCTCCCTATCTCTGTGACCTCCTAACCCCCTACGAACCTGACCACTCCCTCCGCTCAGCAGGCTCCAACCTGCTTCATGTCACCCGCCTTGCCCGCCCCACCATTAGCAGGCGGGCCTTCAGCCAATCTGCTAACACACTTTGGAACTCCATCTCACAGTCCCTCCACTTCAGCCCCTCCCTTGCCTCCTTCAAGACCCATCTCAAGACCCTCATCTTTGACGGTGCCTTCGATCACCCTCCTACCCCTACCCCTATCTAGCCTAACGGTCCACCGACAAATCTGGCTGGACCTCCTCAAAATCTACCGCTCCACTCTAGCCTCGGCCAAGTCGTCCTTCTATTCCAGGATAATCCTGGAGGCGAAGAACAGCCCCAGGCTTCTGTTCTCCACCACACCCCGACTCCTCCGTCCCCCCCGCCACCCCGCGCAGGTCATCTCCTCCAACCTTCACTGCGAGGAGATGCTGGATTTCCTTGAATCCAAAATCAAGGGAATCCGCTCCGTGGTCACTGCCTCTCCAACTTCCACCCACCCCCCAACCCCTTCATTCCCACACTCCGACTCCTACCCATCCTCCCCTACAGACCTTCGAACCCGTTCCCCACCCTCTGTCACCAACCTCATCCTGTCCCTGAAATCCACCACCTGCTCCCTTGACCCCATCCCCACTCCACTCCTTATCTCTCAGCTCCACCTCCTTGTCCCACTTCTCACAGACATCATCAACCTGTCCCTCTCCTCTGGCTCTGTTCCCATTCCCCTAAAAACTGCCACCATCACTCCCACTTTGAAAAATCCCTCCCTTGATGCATCGCAGCTATCAAGCTACCGGTCCATCTCCAACCTTCCCTTCCTGTCCAAGGTCCTTGAAAGAGTTGTCGCCTCCCAACTGCGCTCTTTCCTCTCCACCCATTCATTATTCGAACCCTTCCAGTCGGGTTTCCGTGCTGCCCATAGCACAGAAACTGCTCTGGTCAAGGTCACCAATGACATCTTGACCAACTGCGACCAGGGCTCCCTCTGCCTCTTCGTCCTATCGGCCGCATTCGATACGGTCGACCACACTATCCTCCTCCACCTCTTATCCTCCCACCTCAACCTTCAAGGCCCTGTCCTTGAGTGGTTTAGGTCGTACATCTCCCACCGTCTTCATTTTGTTTCCACAAACGGCTTTTCCTCCACCCCCGCCCTGTCTTGTGCGGTGTCCCTCAGGGCTCTGTCCTCAGTCCCCTCCTCTTCACCCTCTATATGCTCCCCTTGGTGACATCATCCGCAGACATGGGGTTAACTTCCACATGTATGCGGATGACACCCAACTCTACCTTTCCTCCTCTACCCTCAACTCCACGACCACCGATGTCCTGACAGCTGCCTGTCCGACATCGAGTCCTGGACGAGAGACAACTTTCTTCAGCTCAACGTGCGCAAAACCGAGGCCCTCCTGATTGGCTCACGTCAGCGCCTCCGCACCTCAGGCGCTGACACCATCAGCATCCAAGGCTGCACTCTCCACCTCTCAAAGCCAGTCAGGAACCTCGGGGTTCTGTTCGACCCTGAGCTGTCCTTTCTCCCTCATATCCGCGCCACAACTGGCACCGCCTTCCATCACCTCCGGAACATCGCCAGACTACGGCACTACCTCACCCCTCACGCTGCTGAAACTCTGGTCCACGCCTTTATCACCTCAAGGCTGGACTATGGGAACTCTCTCCTCGCCGGCCTTCCCGCACCTCCCTCCACACTGCAGGTCATTCAGAACTCTGCAGCTCGTGTACTGTCCCGCACCAGGCTCGCGACCACATCACTCCCACCCTCGCTCGCCTCCACTGGCTCCCCATCCCCCAGAGGATCGAATTCAAGATCCTCATCCTCACCTACAAGGCCATTCACGGCCTCGCTCCCTCCTACCTCTCCGACCTACTATCCCCTACTTACCTGCCCGTACCCTCCGTTCCTCTGGCTCCGGTCTGCTCCACATCCCCCGCCCCAACCGCCCTACCATCGGTGGCCGGGCCTTCAGCCTCTCAGCCCCGAGGCTCTGGAACTCTATCCCCCAGTGCCTTCGCCGCCTCCTCCCTTTCCTCCTTCAAGGCCGGTCTCAAGACCTTTCTCTTTGACCGTGCCTTCAGCTCCCCTCTCGACTACCTCCTCGCTCCCTCCCTTCCCTCCCCTCACCCTGACCATTTCCCCCCCAATGCTCGGGCCCCGACCCAACTGTACAGCGCCTTGGGACGTCTCCCGACGTGAAAGGCGCTCTATAAATGATATCTTGTTGTTGTTGTTCCCCACCCTCCACCCATTCTGGTCACAACCACCAGCTTAACTGCGAATCCCTGACTGTCCAGGGTCTTGGAATGTCCTCCTGACATGAAAGGCACTATACAAATCTAATTTGTTGTTGATTGGTCCCTGTGGCGGAGCTGTGTGATTGGTCCCTGTGGCGGAGCCGGTCTGATTGGTCCCTGTGGCGGAGCCGGTCTGATTGGTCCCTGTGGCGGATCTGGTGTGATTGGTCCCTGTGGCGGAGCTGGTGTGATTGGTCCCTGTGGCGGAGCTGTGTGATTGGTCCCTGTGGCGGAGCTGGTGTGAACGGTCCCTATGGCGGAGCTATGAGAAAGGTCCCTGTGGCGGAGCTGTGTGAATGGTCCCTGTGGCGGAGCTGTGTGATTGGTCCCTGTGGCGGAGCTGTGTGATTGGTCCCTGTGGCGGAGCTGTGTGATTGGTCCCTTTGGCGGAGCTGGTGTGATTGGTCCCTGTGGCGGAGCTGTATGAATGGTCCCTGTGGCGGAGCTGTGTGATTGGTCCCTGTGGTGGAGCTGTGTGATTGGTCCCTGTGGCGGAGCTGTATGAATGGTCCCTGTGGCGGAGCTGTGTGATTGGTCCCTGTGGCGGAGCTGTGTGATTGGTCCCTGTGGCGGAGCTGTGTGATTGGTCCCTGTGGCGGAGCTGTGTGATGGTCCCTGTGGCGGAGCTGTTGATGGTCCCTGTGGCGGAGCTGTGTGATTGGTCCCTGTGGCGGAGCTGTGTGATTGGTCCCTGTGGCGGAGCTGTGTGATTGGTCCCTGTGGCGGAGCTGTGTGATTGGTCCCTGTGGCGGAGCTGTGTGATTGGTCCCTGTGGCGGAGCTGTGTGATTGGTCCCTGTGGCGGAGCTGTGTGATTGGTCCCTGTGGCGGAGCTGTGTGATTGGTCCCTGTGGCGGAGCTGTGTGATTGGTCCCTGTGGCGGAGCTGTGTGATTGGTCCCTGTGGCGGAGCTGTGTGATTGGTCCCTGTGGCGGAGCTGTGTGATTGGTCCCTGTGGCGGAGCTGTGTGATTGGTCCCTGTGGCGGAGCTGAGCTGTTGTGCTGAGTCGGGAGCTGCGGTTTGGGCCACTTTGTCAATGGGGGGACGCGGGAAAAGGAAAGCGGCGTTTAAACGCGGAGAGGTAACTCCATCAAAACAACACACAGACTGATTGCCTGGTTTCTGCTTTATTTGCTGGGTGTCTGGGTGCCTGGTTTGCTGGGTGCCTGGTTTGCTGGGTGTCTGGGTGTCTGGTTTGCTGGGTGTCTGGGTGTCTGGTTTGCTGGGTGTCTGGGTGCCTGGTTTGCTGGGTGTCTGGGTGCCTGGTTTGCTGGGTGTCTGGGTGCCTGGTTTGCTGGGTGTCTGGGTGTCTGGTTTGCTGGGTGTCTGGGTGCCTGGTTTGCTGGGTGTCTGGGTGCCTGGTTTGCTGGGTGTCTGGGTGGTGCCTGGTTTGCTGGGTGTCTGGGTGTCTGGTTTGCTGGGTGTCTGGGTGCCTGGTTTGCTGGGTGTCTGGGTGCCTGGTTTGCTGGGTGTCTGGGTGCCTGGTTTGCTGGGTGCCTGGTTTGCTGGGTGTCTGGGTGCCTGGTTTGCTGGGTGTCTGGGTGCCTGGTTTGCTGGGTGTCTGGGTGCCTGGTTTGCTGGGTGTCTGGGTGCCTGGTTTGCTGGGTGTCTGGGTGCCTGGTTTGCTGGGTGTCTGGGTGCCTGGTTTGCTGGGTGTCTGGTTTGCTGGGTGTCTGGGTGCCTGGTTTGCTGGGTGTCTGGGTGCCTGGTTTGCTGGGTGTCTGGGTGCCTGGTTTGCTGGGTGTCTGGGTGCCTGGGTGCCTGGTTTGCTGGGTGTCTGGGTGCCTGGTTTGCTGGGTGCCTGGTTTGCTGGGTGTCTGGGTGCCTGGTTTGCTGGGTGTCTGGGTGCCTGGTTTGCTGGGTGTCTGGTTTGCTGGGTGTCTGGGTGCCTGGTTTGCTGGGTGTCTGGGTGCCTGGTTTGCTGGGTGTCTGGTTTGCTGGGTGTCTGGGTGCCTGGTTTGCTGGGTGTCTGGGTGTCTGGTCACTCTCTCGCTGCTGTGTCTCTGGTGCAGTGATCAGGCGGTGTCGGTGTCGCTGCTGTTGGTGTAGCGGCTGCGGTTGGATTCCCTTGTGATACACTGTGTTCCTGGTGAATCCGCTGCTGATCATTGTCTGTGCAGAGAAACTCCAGTGTTTGAGGCTAAAAGCTGCGAAACCAGAGGGTTTTTGCAATAACAAAAACCATTGCCGCCGAGAGAGATGCTGTTTGACAAGGCCTCGCCTGATTTTGCTGAGCTCCTCTGTGTGTGTGTGTATATGTGTGTGTTTTGAGGCCTTTCCTTCTCTCTTCTCTCAAGTGGAGCAAAATATGATAATAATGATAATAATCCTTGAGCTCCTCTGTGTGTGTGTGTGTGTGTGTGTAATTTTTGGCCCTGCCTTTGGTTTGCTGTTCTCTCAAATCGTGCAAAATATGATGTTACTAATCCTTCCAATTGATGATAATAATAATAATAATAATCCTTGGATTTGATATAACACCTGATCACATCGTCGAGACGTCTCAAAGCACTTCACGGGATATACTGTAAAATGGATCAACTGTATTCTGTGGGTGAAAAATGCACGACCCTCCCCCTCCCACACCGCTCAACACTTCGCTGCCTGTGGGGTTCTTGCAGCATTTATCTAACAAGACTGCTAAAAACAAACAATTCATATCTTAGGCTTCAGCACTGGTTTCACCGTGGCCACGAGTTTTGCATTTCAAATGCTAAAAACTCTGTTACACACAGTCACAGGCGGTGCGTAATGCAGTGACTGTATCTTTACTACTATTTTTGGAAGAATTGATCCGTGTTGACATTGTGGATCGGAACACAATAGAGGCTTCTGTTTATTATAATAATAATAATAAACCTTGCATTTGATATAATGCCTTATCATGCCGTTGAGCCGTCTCAAAGTGCTTTGCAGGACATACTGTAAAGTGAATTGACTGTATTTTATGGGGGAACTCAGTTGCCGGAGGTGCCATCCTTTGGATGGAATATTTAAGCCGAGATATGATCTGCCTGTTCAGTTGAAAGTTAAAGACCTGTGAAACTAAAATAGAAGGGAGATCCTGCATTTGTCCCAGCCAATAATCCTTCAGATTGTTGTTTTTATGTTATAGATGCATTTGCACGTTATAGAACATAAGAAATAATAATAATAATCCTTGCATTTGATATAGCGCTTTTTACATCTTCTCGACGTCTCAAAGCGCTTCACAGAATATACTGTAAAGTGAATTGACCGTATATTTGTGGGCGAAACGCGGCAGCCAATTGCGCACAGTAGTGTCCCACAAACAGTCGTGGATTAAAAATGATCAATTTATTATTGTTTTTGTTTTGATCTAGCCCCTTATTATGTTAAATGATAGATGAAAGAAGACCAAGCTCCATCCAGTTCACCTTCCACCATCCTGGCAGTCACTTGCACGTCATGTCATGTACCAAACTATATACTGTATCCCACAATGTTATTCTAGATGCTTTATCAAATGCAGTTTATTATTATTATTAATAATGTTTGCATTCCTCTTTGTCCTCAGTCTGTGAAGCCAGGCGATGATGCTAAGAAAAAGCGACCAGAGAAGGCTACCTTCCCTGAGGAAATAAGAAAAGAGATTCACAGTCTCTACAAGCTCCCGATGCCTGAAGATTTTTATCACTTCTGGAAATTCTGTGAGGACTTGAATCCTGAGGATCCTTGTGGTGTGTTATTAACCCGTCTTGTGTAGCACTCACAGTGCCCAGTGCACCCATTATGCCTTTTAACGTGGAATGGCTCAAAAAAAAATGTATATCAACACTAGAAAAATGATGCAGCCATCAACCTCCATTAAGAGGATGATTTGGGTTATTAAGAATGTTACATTAAAAATCTCATGGTATTATTCGAAGAGAGAAGGGGATTATCCCCAGGGGCCTGGCCAACAGATCGTCAGTCTGGCTCAATGGTGGATCTCTCGCCTCTGGGTCAGAAGGTGGTGAGTTCAAGCCCTTTGAATCTTTGGACTTTGAACTCCCGTAATCCAGTCTGGCACCACAATGCAGTGCTGAGGGTGTGCTACATTGTTGGAGGTACAATCCTTGGGGTGAGATGTTAAACCAGAGTCCTGACTGCCTGTTTAGGTGGACTTTTCAAAATGTCACTGTTCAAAAAAAGTTTTCCCCCCAGTGCCCTGCCAACAATCCCCAAATAAAATTGGTCATTCACTTCATGGCTGTTTGTGGGATATCGGTTGCCGCGTTTGCCTACAAAGCACACAGTCACTGCACTTTACAGTAAATTCTGTGAAGCACTTTGAGACATCTTCCAGACTTGAAAGGTTCTATATCAAATGTAAGGATTATTATTTTGAACAGCCACGAAGTGAATGACCATTGTATAATAGTAATCATCATTATCCTTGCATTTAATGTAGCACCTTATAACGTCACCAAGATGCCTTTCCATTGAAAGCACTTATCTAGCGAGCTTCCTGCTGCTCGTCCAGTCAGAACAGCCTCAGCTGTTGGAGCTTTGGCTTTCAAGGTTAACTGGAGCTAATAATAATAATAATAATCCTTGCATTTGATATAGCGCTTTTCACGTCGGGAGGACGTCCCAAAGCGCTTCACAGAATATACTGTAAAGTGAATTGACTGTATATTTGTGGGCGAACGCGGCAGCCAATTGCGCACAGCAATGTCTCACAAACAGTCGTGGATTGAAAATGACCAATTTATTATTGTTTTGGAGGGATTATTATTAGGCTCTGTGTGGAGTAAGGAAACTTGCCCAAGGTTTCGCGCTGCCTGGAATTGAACTCAGGTCTCTCACTTGCAAAGCGAGTGCTCTAACCACTGAGCTACAGGACTCCAAAGCTAAGCGGGAAGAATGTCTTCCCCCAGTGTAGTCTACCCCTACAATTCCTACTGACAGGCAAGCCGGGCTGGCTGCTCTGACATCATTGGTGCATTGGAGTACTGCACACCCGCCCAGATCACAACCCAGATTGCCGAGATCGCCGCAGAGAGTTGACTTGAATCTGACATTCCACGACCAAGTATGTCGCCCTGGAGCCACTGCAGCTCCAAGGAGTTCCCTTTCTTTCCCTCTCCTTCATCCCAAGGAGGATTGTTTTACAATGTTCACACTGTAGGTCACATCCTGTTCAGCACACAAGGTTTGTGCATCCAGATAAATTGCTTGTTATTAGTCGATAATAATCGGTTGTTAGTCGATTGGCAGATTGTTTTTCTTGGGGTAAAAAAATCTCTTCATAACTAAATAAATAATTTGGTCATTCAGTTCACGACTGTTTGTGGGACGCTGCTTTGCGCAATTGGCTGCTGTGTTTCGCCCACAAAATATACATTAATCTACATTACAGTACATTCTGTGAAACGCTGCGAGACGTCTGAACGACGTGATCAGGTGCTATATCAAGTGCAAGCATTATTATGTTTTTTTAAATAGAGGCTTTGAAGTCGAGCCTTGGGCTGCAGCTCGTTGGGCCTTATGATATCTTGGCAGGAAAACATAAAAGGACAAAAAACTCCGACCTAAACTATCATCTTCATTGGAGACACTTCTACGATCCACCAGAATTCCAGACCGTCCTCATTGGTGATTCTGTCACGCAATTTCACCTCGGCTACTTCAGGTAATTGCAGCACACATTAAATATCAGGCGCGTTTAACCCTTTACTTAACGTTCTGAACCATTCCGCCTAAGCCATTAAGGTCTCAGTAACCGCCCTGTATGTGGTGTTTGCAGGGATGTTCCAGATGAATTGCCAGTGTTCATAGGTGCCAATGAGGCAAAGAAGGGCTGCTCAGTTGTTCAGCTGGGAGACAATTTGTTTAGTGCAGTGAAGTAAGTTTTCTTTATGTGATTTGCCTTTTTTTAAATATGTAGAGAGAAGCAAGTGGATGTGAAGTGATATATATACCAATTGTGGATGGATTACGACAATTTGTAGTGCAAGTTGTTGAGAAGTTTATAACTGGTATTAACTAGGGTGTTCACTAAATTACTGACAAATGGGCAAGGAGTAAATAAATGTCATTAGATTCCAAATTGTATTATTTTTCAGCAATATTTTGAAAGGTCACAATAGAAAATGTCTTTGCTCTGTTCAATTTCGGCAGAGTTTAATACAAACCCAAGTTTATGTTGTAAAGCACTTTTGCATTAGCACTGTTTCCCTTGTTGGAATTTGATACAATTTCTGTCGTTTTTCCTTTTTCTGGGTTTTGAATGAAAATTGCAATCGCACGTTTCTCAGTTTTGGCATTTTCTCTCTTTCTCTTCCTTCTCCTCCTCACCACCCACCCTGCCCCCCCCCCCCCACCCCCCAAAAAAACAACTTGTTCTCAGACTCTTGTTGTCTAAGAGACTAAAGGAGATGAGCAATAAAAAAGAGATCCGTGTTTTGAAAGACCTTGATGCCCAGTTGATCGCATTAGCGGCAAAATTAGATTATTCTCTGGACCAAAGAACTAAAGAGATGAAACAAAGGGATAAGAAGGTAAGATGCTGTGCTTTGCCTGGGTGTGGCTGAGGCTGGTGTGAAAGGTAGTTGGTGGCAGTTAACAGTTAGCATTTTCCCCTGGTGAGGGGGCTTCATGTAGTGTGTTGTGAAACCAAGCACCTTAAACAGACAAGAATGGTGAACATGCATGAGCATTCAAGAAGATATTAAACAAAAAAATATATTTTTTTTGTCAGCTGGGTGTCTGCTGGACTGCATGGGCCAGGTGGCCTGTTTCTTAGCTGTACCTTCTGTGAATCTATAAAACCATAGTCTTTTTTTGGTCAGCTGGGTGTTCAACACATGTGGAAACCCATCCCCATGTTTAAGAGTATCCAATCCAAACTGGGATTTCCCTGCATCCCACCTACACATGGAAATCCCAGAGATAGATTGTTGGAATGGAATACACACTCCCTTCCTGGAGGACAGCATCCTGTTCACCTAATTCTAGAAAGTATTAGGTGCAGGTTAGCAAATGTAATTTTATCAATGAATCAGTGACTGATATTTCCTATATACAGTGGCCAACAACAAAAATTATCCCAGGTACGAATTGGTTACTCATTTCATGGCTGTGTCCATATTGGCTCCTACAGTTCCCTACAAAGTACAGTCACTAAACTTTACAGTATATCCTGTAATGTTCTCCACTTTGAAATGTCATCCTGACGTAAAAGGCTCTAAATCAAACGTAAAGATTATTATTGTTACTATTATAAGATGTTCCAGATTATTTAGGATCTTTTGGATTCAAATAGAACCAAGACTTATTCATGTGTTCCCAGCGTAATTGGTGTAATCTGTTTCTGTTTTTTAGGTTCTGACAAAGACCTTTCATGGTGCAGGTCTGGTCGTCCCTGTAGATAAAAATGACGTAGGTTACAGAAACCTGCCCGAAACAGACGGTATGTCACCTCCCAACCTTGTAAAGATTGCAGTTCAAAGCTACAAAAATAAATGTTACTGAAGATTTAAGTGAATGGGCAAAACTGTGACAGATAGAATTTGATGTGGGGATGTGTGAGGTTGTCCACTGTGGATCAAAAATAGAAAACAGTATATTCCGAAATGGTGAGAAACTAAGAACTGTGAAGCACCAAAGGGATTTGGGTATCCACGTACAAAAATCACTAAAAACAAGCTCACGGGTGCAAGAAATTATCAAAAAGGCTAATGGGATGTTGGCCTTTATCTCAAGGGGGCTGGAATATAAAGGAAAGCAATTGATGCTTCAACTATATAGAGCCTTGATCAGACCCCATCTCAAGTACTGTGTTCAGTTTTGGGGACCGCACAATTCCAACAATCCTGGCCAATAATCCCACAATACATCGGCTCTGGAGGGGCTGCAGCGCAGATTCATCAGAATGATACCAAGGCTAAAAAGGTTAAATTACGAGGACAAGTTGCAGAAACTTGGTCTCTATTCCCTGATTGAAGTTTTTAAAATAATAAAGGGATTCGATAGGGAAGCTACAGATAAACTATTTCCTCTGATGGGGAAACCCGGAACAAAGGGGCATAATCTTAAAATTAGTGCGAGGCCATTTAGGAGTGAAATCAGGAAGCATTTTTTCACTCAAAGGGTAGTGGAAATCTGGAACTCTCTCCCCCAAAAGGCTGTGGATACTGGATCCATTTACATCATCCAGATTGTGGTGTTAGGTCAGGGTATCAAGATATACGTGGCAAGGGCGGGTAACTTATAGAATGATTTTATATATTGGCGGAACAGGCTCAAGGGGCTGAATGGCTTACTCCTGTTTCTATGCTCATTGGAATAGAATGTACTTTTACCACTGTAACCTTTTACACTGCAACGACAAGTGAGTTCAGGAAGGATAGACTTTAGTTTCTTTGTAATCTGCCAGTAACTTCACTTTTGGTGCCTTTCAATAGTCCACCATCACTAGTATTTTAAAATCATCTTGCTTCTATCTCTGGTGATGCAGTCTCTGTAGTTGATATTCCTCCTTTGTAAATAAATGATGGTGTAGAGATGTGTGCAGCAAAAGTCTTCCCTCGTTGCAGAAATATATTGAGTCGTTCTCTGAAAGTGTATTTTCACTTACACGTGCATTGTCATGTTCAGCCTTCAGTGCAGCGATGGCAAATGTGCCTGGAATAGAAGGTGAAGCTACTGCTCTCAAAGCCATCAGTCCTCAGGAGCCTCACTTTTACTTATATCTTATAAATCGTATAATTGCCTTAGTTGTACATGCATCCGAGGCCCATTCAGTTTCCTATCAAAACCTCTTAGATTTCTTTGTACTACTTGTATCAAACATCTCCAAATTCGTAATGCCTCTCCCCATCCTAATAAATAATAATAATAATCCTCGTGTTTGATATAGCGCCTCATCACGTCTTCAAAGCGCTTCACAGAATATACTGTAAAGTGAATTGACTGTATTTTGTGGGCGAAACGTGGCAGCCAATTGTGCACAGCAATGTCCCACAAACAGTTGTGGATTGTGTGACCCAATTTTTTTTGAGAGATTATTACCCCCTGAAAAGTGATCCACCTAACAACCATGTTCCTACTTACTGCTAGGTAACCAGAGGCTTGTGGAGTAAGGAAACTTGCCACAGGTTTCACCCTGACTGGAATTGAATCCAGATCCTCTCGTTGCGAGGCGAGTGGTCTGACCCCTGAGCTACAGGACTCCCTGAACGAAACCCACAGGGGGAGGGAGAGCAAGGATTTGGCTTATATTTCACAAATGCAATAAAAATCTCGAGGCGAAGGAGGTGTGGGGTGGTTCGAGGTTCAATTCAGTTTCTCCATCGAGAGAAAGAGAGAGAGAGTGGTCAAAGACAAGACGTCAACAAATAATTCCAAGGTGGCCATTTGTATCAAGAGAGAGAGAGAGAGAGACAGTGGCCAAGCAAACGTCCATTACCGGCTACATTGAATCATGGAAAATGATGTCCTCACTCGTCACGCATGCTCACTCACCAACTGGCTACTTTGAATCACAGAAACGTGTTTTTGATCCGTCGACACATGCGCAGAAGTTCATTTCCCGTGATTCCAGGACTGGCCGCAGTAAATGCGCACGTGGCCACGGGTCAGGATGCAATGAATTGTGGGGAAAGTAGTCTTGACTGGTCACCTCGTGTGCACTCACAGCTCTATTAAATTAGGCAAAGCTCAGTGTAGATTATTGATTAACTCAGATTTTATATGACGTGTACAAGTTTGCCTGCAATTTGGACTTTGCATAAGTCATTAAATATTATGATTCTGACTGATAAAAATCCACAATTGTGTGAGGTCTTCCAACTTTGAAGGTAAAATGGTCTGACAAGCTGAGACTGAGTGGAATCTGAGACCTCTGACAGGGAAGAGCATCAAATCCGAGGGGTAGAATCTTCAGTTTTTGATGTTGCTTAAATCTTCCAGGAAAAGTGTAAAAATGTACAGTATTTGCATTGCTTGAATGTTTTTAAGTAAAGTACTTGAATTTACTGCTGTATTCTGCAGCCACGTGCCACACAATATACAATACCTCTGGATGTTGTTTCATAAGTCAATAATGTTTCATGTCATGCTTTTTGGACCTAATTATTTATTTTAAAACTCTAGTGAGCCTCAAAAAGATCTGCAAGGCTATTGTAGAAGCTCCAAATGATGAAGAGCGGATTAGGGCCTTTGCTCCAATCCAGGAAATAATAACATACGTTCAGTTTGCAAATGATGAATGCGATTATGGAATGGGATACGAATTAGGAATGGATCTCTTCTGTTACGGATCACATGTGAGTATATGGAGATAGGATTCAAACTTATCAACAACAGCATAAATGCATATTATACAGAGAAAAGCAGGAATGCAGGAGTGCAGGACTATTTTAAAATGAGTTCAAATGACTTATAAAATAATCCTTGCCTTGATGTAACACCTTATCACGTCACACAAACATCTCAAAGCGCTTTATTGAATTTCCTGGTAAGTGTGGTGGCTGTGTATCTGTAGGCGAATGTGGCATACGATTTGCACACAGCAATCATCCATAAACAGTCATGAAGTGAGTGACCAATTTATTCAGGGGGATTGTTGGCCAGGAAACCGGGAGAGAAAAACTCCCTTCTCTTCAAATATTGACGTGGTACCTTTGAATCCTTGTGTCCTCCTGAACCAGCAGACAGATCTTTGGTTTAAAGTCTCACCTGAAGGACGGCTCCTCTGTTGCAATGGTGTGTTAGCCTTGTCTGATAAAAGTCTGTGATCCAGCATATTGGAGTTGTTTACATGCCATGTGTAAATACAGCTGTATGCCTTAACAATCCTTTTTATTTGTTACACAATTACAGACATTTCCCTCTGTACACCTGTTTACACATGGACCATAATACAACTTTGTTTCAACAGCACATCATATGCTGTATTATCTTGCATTATTTTCTATTTTGCAAGACTTTTTTTCAAAGCACTGCATTACGGTGGAACAAGTTTAGGGAGAGAAACTATTGCATCTCTACAACATTGATAAATTAAGTCCAGTCTGGTAAAACCAGCAAAAACTTTTTAAAAAGAAGCCCTCTTGCATCTTGGGGTCTGCCTTTCAAAGAGAAAATACATTGTTGGGGTTCATGTTGAACGAGCAGACAGGAAATTGCCAGGTTCGATCCATGCTATGTGCGAAGCTAAATTTCAGCTGGAATGATGAATGATCTGTAGTCAATCTCCGCATTCCTAGGCTTTCAGGGGAAGCGGAGGGAAATCAGCCGTGTTTCTCCTATAGTAATAATCCTCGCAGTTGATACAGAGCCTTATGTATCAGGACGACATCTCAAAACACTTCACAGGATTTATGGTAAAGTGTAGCGACTGTGGTTAGATAGGGGAATGCCTACAATCAAGATCCATGGATCGATCCTTTTTGGCCAGTACTGATGTTTTGGATGTTAGGGAAGTCACTCACAGCAGTATTTTTTTATCATGGCAGTTTAGGAAATTTGCAGTGTTGCCTTAAACTTTGATTTGGGTTTCATGTCCTCCCACAGTGTGCAGTGAAGAGACAGCAGAGGAGGTAGGAGGCCAGTTGCATGCAGTCTTCAGATTCTATTTGCCGTCATTGTTTTGCCCACAAAATATAGTCTATTCACTTTACACTATATTCTGTGAAGCGCTTTGAGACAGCTTGAACACATGATAAGGCGCTATATCAAATCTAAGGTTTATTATTATGGAGTGAATAGCTACTGTACGTTTATATAGCACAGCTGTGTGTGTGTGTGAGAGGGAATCTGATTCTACATGTTAAATGAAAGAACAATTTTTGCATATGATGGATTTGTACTGTATCTGGAATTGTTGCCCTCTCCCTTACAACCCTGCTGTGAAATTTAAGTGGTCCAAGACCCTACCTCATGTGAAAGGTGTTGTATAAATACAAGTTGTTATTGAATGTCCATTACTGCCTTGAACCAAGTACTGAGGTGCATATAAGATTCCGGGGGAAAATTGCTGATTTTCTGGAATTTTAAGACCCTAATTTGTTACATGAATCTAACAACAGCCTGCCAATGCTGTTAAATATTGCATGTATCTTGCAGATACATGGCAGATAATTTCAATGTGGAGAAATGTGAGGTAATGCATTTCGGTAGAAAGAATGAGGGGAGGCAATATAGGCCGGTAATACAATCTTAAGGGGGGTGAAATAACAGAGTGACCTGGAGGTGCAGGTAAATGAATCCTTGAAGGTGGCAGGACAGGTAGATAAAGCTGTAAAAAGGGCAGATGGGATACTAGGCTTTATAAATAGGGGCACAGAGTACAAGAGTCAGGAGGTTATGATTAACCTATATAAAACACTGCTTAGGCCTCAGTTAGAATACTGCGCCCAGTTCTGGGCACCACACTATAGGAAGGATGTTAAGGTATTGGAAACGGTGCAGAGGAGATTTATGAGGATGGTACCAGGAATGAGGGACCTTGACTGAGGAAAGGCTGGAGAGGTTAGGATTATTCTCATTGGAGCAGAGAAGGTTACGAGGAGACCTAATAGAGGTCTTCAAAATCATGAGGGGATTTGATACGTTAGAAAGGGAAAAACTGTTTCCACTGGTGGGTGTGTCGGTAACTCCAGGTCACAGATTCAAAATAAGCAGAGGGGAGGTGAGAAGAAATTGGTTGTTCAAATCTGGAATGCATTGCCTGACGGGGTGGTCGAGGCCGATTCAATAACAACTTCTAAAAACGCGGTGGACGGGTATTTGAGGAGGACGTGTTTGCAGGGTTATGGGGAAAGGGCTGGGGAGTGGGATTGACATTACATTGCTCTTTTCAAAGAGCCGGCACAGACTCTATGGGCCAAATGGCCTCTTTTTGTGCTGTATGATTCTATGATTCTATTAATGGCTATTACTGTATTAGTGACTCAAGAGGAAATTAGTTATTGCTTTTGGATTCACTTTAGCTAATGATGTTCACTGTGGTAATTGAGGCTTAGTTTGTGCAGGTAATTATGATAAAAAAAGCGATTTCACAGCTTGAAGTTTTTCTTTTGTTCTTTTACAGTACTTTCACAAATTGGTACGGCAGCTTTTACCTTTGGCCTACAATCTCTTGAAGAGGCCCCTATTTGCAGAGATTATTGAAGTTCATTTGGCCAACAGAAATTGGGATAATCTGGATCAACTAAAGGCTTGAGTTTTTCAAACCAAGGCAGTGTGATTCAGTTTCCCGAGCAAGAGCTGATTGACCATTTCCCCGGCCTATTGTAAACTGTAAAATCTGAGAACGGTCTGTGAGGTGTATCTGGTTTTGAAATGTGTATGTTAAAGAGTTGATGTAGTTTTTGTAATAAAGAATCTTTGTTAAGTCGTAGCTTTCAACATTCATCCAGCGCTTGTTAAGTTTGCACTCCTGCCCTGGGTATTCTTGTTGTAAGGGTGGGCCTGGAAAATGAAGTTTGATCTGTATTCTCAAAGCATCAAAACAACTCAAAAGTGCTTCACAGGATTTCTTATAAAAGGGAAGGAATGTATTTGTGAAAAAGTGAATGACCAATTTTATCTTGGGGATTGTTGGCCAGGACACAGAGGGCAGCAGTCTATTCTTTGCTAATAGTATAACAGGAGATTTAAAATTCAGCTGAACAGGCAGACATGACCTCGGTTTAAAGTCTTGTCCAAAGGGCAACACCTCTGTTCAAGCAGCACTCACAGGCATTGCACTGGAGTCAGCCTAGACGATGAGCTCAAATCCCTGACAAGCTTGAACCTATAAATCTCCTGATTCAGAGGCAAGAGCGCTACCAACAGTTAAATCAGACTGACACCTCATTGTAGCACTCTGACCAAAGGTGAATCAATGAAAACAGCTACTGCTCTCTCTCCCCATCTACCCTCCCGCCCAAAAAAAGTTTTCGCTGCTGGAGTGCAATGTTCTGTTCCCGCAGAATTGTACAAGCATTGATGGCTAAAGATAAAATGCAGCTCGTCACCAATCTGGCACTGCCAAAAAACAAGCATCTTTCCAATGTGAAGGCGACATACATATGCGGAACTGTCTGGTTTGGATACTCAAATATTGTGACAGGTTTCCACATCAGAATACAAATCATAAAAATTATATTTCCTTAAATAAGTTACTTTAAACATTGGCAAATGGTTTATGCTGCAATGTATGGGGCCTCACTCATATTCCAAGTATGAATAATTAAGTCTCATGGTGGAAAATTTATATTTAAAGTTAACAAGTGAGTTCCCATGAAATTCTTGGTAACCTGTCAACAATGTTAACACAGTATATACATCTGCATACATGGTTATAAAAACTGAAGTCACCCAACAAGATAAAGGTAAGCTCATATGTTCAATTCACGTCTGGGGGGACAAATGACAGAGCATGGAAATGAGGCCAAAATAATTTTCGAATGCAAAATCAAATCAATTTTAAGGATATTTGGCAGAAATTATATGCAAATTATTCTCAAAGTGATAAATGTAATATTCTAAGCAAATGAATATCCACCTGGTTTAAAAAGAGCAAGCGATTGTACTGAATAAAATACAGTACAGCTTTCAAATTTGGTGCTGTTCACAAAAACAGAATGAGCGCTGTAGTGTTACATTTAACAATAGCCAATATTTGAAATATGCCATGAAACACAACGTCTCCAATTAAAATCTCAACAAAGATTCACTTGTTTCAACAGGTAATTTAATACAGTATTATACAATCAAACTTTCACAGTAATCATAATTAAGTTTGTCTTAAGAATGTGAATTTCTAACATCGATATAAATAAAAACATCCAGAATCAGTATTAAAGACAATTCTAGGCAACATCACAGTTAAAGACAAAGCATCCTTCATTAACCAAAAGCAAGACAATGGCAAACGACCGAACACAAACACCATCCCCACGGGGCTCTTGCCTAAAGCTTGACTACACCCAGCAGAGAAAGGGAGGAGGATCTCATAAGGTATTGCAAACGTCACAGAAGGAAAATTTCCAGTTATCGATTTATGCTGAATTTCGAAGCTGACGCGACACAATCCTGAACATTCCAAATTATCAGCACTTTGGATGCTGATGATTTTAAATATATTGATTTTATTATCTGATACAATTATTATCCATACATTTCCTGCAGATCCAACAATGATGTCTAATGTGAGATTGGATGTCAGGTTAATGTCTTGGGATGAGAAAGGGATTAAAAAGTAGCAAAACTGATAATGCTTCATCAGTAAGTATTCATCAGTAATCAGTAAGTAGTTTGCACAAGCTCTTGAGGTCCGTTAATCAACCTCAATAGGTTTCTGAGTCTTACCCTTGATTCTGTAACTAAACAAAAATGGAACCCAATGATCTGCATCAAATGTTTTAAACTCTATACAAACAGTGTAAGTTTACCTTTTTGCATCTGGAAATTTAGTGCAAATTTCAAGTCCTTTAAAAATCTGGTTTACATGAACATTTGTACTTCAATCTATTTCTTAAAATTAACTCCAGGTAATGCCACATAAAAGTGGACCTATATTTTAAAAATATGCACACATCGATGATTCTAGTTTTACACGATGTCATTTAAAGCCAATTTGGTTGAAACAGATTACCTCCTATGAATTGTAAACACTAAAAATCGAATGGTTATTACCCATGATAATATAATCCAAAGTTTTTTTTAAAAAAATCAAAGTACATACTTCAGATGACATCACCAATGTTACTTGATGAATGTTAACAGTATTAAAAAAAACTGATGCGATGATCACTAAAACAGAAAACTCAAATGAAAAAAAAAATCAAGTTATACATTGTGCACAGTTAGAATAAACACAAAGATCATTGCTGAATGTTTTATGGATGAAGGCTGCAGTACAGCTAACATTCCTACCCACATCTGGCACATATTCAGTAAATCCTGGATCCCTAACGTTGATGCACACAATGCAACTGGAAGCATCAGCAAGTGACCATTTTACTGCCATTCATCCTCCTTTTATAGCAAAGAAAATAAAGGGACACCCGTCTTTAAGCAAAAATATGTTTTTCAGCATTAATACTCTTGAAACCTCAACCATCTCACTAGTTTTAAAAAGATTATTTCCTGTAAAACTGCCAACCACACAATCTTATTTTAATTGCACCTTGTCAAATATTAGCAACGTGCCTTAACTCAATTTTAGTAAATACATTTGGGTTACGCACATCTTCAGCAATCAGCCTTCATTGATGTGCACTTGGGAAACTGGTTCCTTCTTTGCCTCATCTCAGTTACCAATTTTATAATCTTTGCGTAACCTTTATGCAAGAAATGACTGCTTCAATGGCAAGGAAGTTTCAGAGGTTGGGTTCAGAGGCTCTCACAGTCACCTTCCTTGGTGCAAAAATGGTAAGTTGTCTGGAATGTTCAGAGCAAAGTTAATGTCAATCCAAAGATGCAAGCTGCCAACGTTCCTGAAATGCATTCTGCATGAAAGTGCAAGACTCTGGAGGCATACAAGATGGCTTACTTCAATCATATAGTGCGATCTTTAGAAAAGATGCATTGTCAGTGATTCAGTATTGGCAGAAGAACCATTTATACCATTCAATTTCACTGTCACTAACCCTCTATTTCTTTAATAGCACATATCAAAAAAAAATTAATATGGAAACATCTAGGTATAAACTGGTTTTAAAGTGGACACCAGGCTTAATACTGAAGTGGACCGACCACTGTTGACAAACTCTTACATCAAAGCAGCATTCAGTACTGACTGAACTGCAGACAGATGTTATTTTCTTTCCATAATAGTGATAAGCTGAAGCCTTTCTAATAGTCAATTTGCTGTGCTCTTTAACAAATGAATCTCTTCCTCAGTTTCTTCAGAATCCTCAGCTACTGTGTTCAGTTGAACATGATTGACTCTGGGTCTTGGTTTGTCATTTGGGCCATGTGACGGAGAATATCCTTTTTCGTTATTATGCCAAGGAGACGTCTGAAAGGATAAATGGAAAAAGAATCTATTCAGTGAAAAGGTAGGAAACCAAAGGGTCAGGAAAGAAAGGATAAAGTGGGTGGAAATGACAGGGAGAGTGATGCTAATCCCATCTGTACAGAGCAGAATAAGTGGAGTATCAACATGGAATTTACCAATCCCATTCTCACTTAATGATGATTGTCAATCACACAGACAAAATGTCTGAAACTTTTAGAACGCAGCAAAGTAAACTTTTAAGGTATTTCAATACAATTTAATTCACTCAATTCAAGAATATTGTGTGGTATTAGCAGCATAATTGTGATAAGGAGAGGAACAGGTCCTACAAAATTAATGGGGGAAAAAGAGGAAAGGAAGGAGAAAAGGCTTTGGCCTTAGTTAATCTGGTTAGTACTTTTGGCAACAGCAGGATGCATGAAACATGTGAATCATTAGCAAATTAATAGTAAGCACATTTGCGGGAGGGGAAAAGTTACACTGATCACATTTTCAACTAATACGATTATGTTCGGAGGCTAAAGTAAATTTAAAAATACATTAGTGCCTGATACATACCCACTCACCCAGTGCAAAACACCAAATTGGCAGTTGGTGACTATGAGATCTTATATAGGGGTCTCTCGAGCTTCAGCTATAAAGCATAAAGCATAGTATACATATAGCTAAAGGTGTCATAATCAAGGTAACGTATAGATAGATTTGAGCAGGTTTTAAAAATAAACAAAATATTTCAGTTGAAGCACAAGACCTTAATTGGAATCCACCATTAAGAAAACTCTTTTTAATTTTACACAAATATCTTCCCACTAAACAAGTTCACAACAAAGTCTTCAAAACATAGGTTGAAGACAGGGTAAACATTTTTGGTAGCAGTGCTTGTTGTATAACAATCTGAGGTGTTTCCAGATATATCGTACACATGGCACATGACTGTACAGTGATTCACTACACAACCTGATTATGTTCCTTAAAAAAAGGCTACAGCTCAAGCAATCATGTACTTGATTCGTAACCAAAAGCTCACAGGTGAGAGTCAAACTCTCAAACCCTGGTTTATAGAATTATAGAATTATACAGCACAGAAGGAGGCCGTTCGGCTCATCAGGTCAGTGCCGGCTCTTTGAAAGGAGCTGTCCAATTCAATCCCACACCCCCGCTCTCTCCTCATAGCCTTGCAAGCTTGTCCTCCCCAAATAATTATCTACTTCTCTTAAAAGTTATTATCGAATCAGCTTCCACTATCCTTTCAGGAAATGCATTCAGTTACAATAATAGTGGTTAAAATAATAAATAATCCTTGCACTTGATATAGCACTTTATCACATCGTAGGGAAGTTTCAAAGCGCTCACAGAATATACTGTAAAGTGGATTAACTGGGCAAAATGCGGCAGCCAATTGCGTATATCAGTGTCATAAAGCTAATGGGATGTTGGCCTTTATCTCAAGGGGGCTGGAATATAAAGGAAAGCAATTGATGCTTCAACTATACAGAGCCTTGATCAGACCCCATCTCAAGAACTGTGTTCCGTTTTGGGGACCGCACAATTCCAACAATCCTGGCCAATAATCCCACAATACATTGGCTCTGGAGGGGCTGCAGCGCAGATTCATCAGAATGATACCAAGGCTAAAAAGGTTAAATTACGAGGACAAGTTGCAGAAACTTGGTCTCTATTCCCTGATTGAAGTTTTTAAAATAATAAAGGGATTCGATAGGGAAGCTACAGATAAACTATTTCCTCTGATGGGGAAACCCGGAACAAAGGGGCATAATCGTAAAATTAGTGCGAGGCCATTTAGGAGTGAAATCAGGAAGCAGTTTTTCACCCATAGTGGAAATCTGGAACTCTCTCCCCCAAAAGGCTGGTTCCATTCACATTTTCAAGACGGAGCTAGATAGATATTGTTAGATCAGGGTATTACATTAGAATACATAGCACAGAAACAGGTCATTCGGCCCAACTGGTCTATGCCGGTGTTTATGCTCCACATGAGCCTCCTCCTGCTCTTCCTCAACTAAGTCTTCAAGTGTAACCTTCTATTCATTTCTCCCTCATGTACCTATCTAGCTTTCCCTTAAATACATCTATGCTATTTGCCTCAACAATTCCTTGTGGTAGCATGTTCCACATTCCCACTACTATTTGTGTGAAGAAATTTCTTCTAACTTCTCTATTTGATCTATTTGTGACTATTTTATATTGATGGCCCCTGGTTTTGGTCTCCCCCACAAGTGGAAACATCTTCCCTATGTCTACCCTATCAAAACCATTCAGCATTTTAAAGATCTCTATCAGGTCACCCCTTACCCTCCTCTTTTCAAGAGAAGAGTCCAAGTATGTTCAGCCTTTCCTGATAGGTATAACCTCTCAGTTATGGGATCATCCTTGTGAATCTCCTTTGCACCCTCTCCAGTGCCTTTACATCCCTTCTATCATGTGGGGACCAGAACTGCACACTGGTTTGCTTTTTTTTAATGGCCTTATTAACCCACGTTGCTACTTCACACCTACCTGCCCGTACCCTCCGTTCCTCTGGCTCCGGGCTGCTCCACATCCCCCGCCCCAACCGCCCTACCATCGGTGGCCGGGCCTTCAGCCTCTCAGCCCCGAGGCTCTGGAACTCTATCCCCCAGTGCCTTCGCCGCTTCCTCCCTCTCCTCCTTCAAGGCCGGTCTCAAGACCTTTCTCTTTGACCGTGCCTTCAGCTCCCCTCTCGACTCTCTACCCCCTCCTCGCTCCCTCCCTTCCCTCCCCTCACCCTGACCATTTCCCCCCTGCTCGGGTCCTGACCCAACTGTACAGCGCCTTGGGACGTCCTCCCGACGTGAAAGGCGCTCTATAAATGAAATCTTGTTGTTGTCTTCTTGTTGTTTAGTGAATTGTGTATGTGTACCCCTAGATCCCTTTGCTCCTTTACACCATTTAAGTATTTATTTTCCAGGATGTATATAACTTCCTTATTCCTTTTACCAAAATGTACCACCTCACACTTTTCTACATTGAAATGCATTTGCTATTTAAATGCCCATTCAGCAAGTTTGTTAATGTATTAAGGGATATGGGGCAAGGGTGGGTAACTGGACTTGAGGGACAGATCAGCCATGATCTTATAAAATGGCGGAACAAGCTCGAGGGGCTGAATAGCCTACTCCTTTTACTATATTTCTACAGTAATGGACAATCAATCAGTTTATTCCTCTCTGCAGTGAGGTGGAGAAATCACACTGTTAATAAGAGGCAGACACTGGCAACTCACCATCTGGATGTGAATGCGACTCCAAGGCCGACCACTCCAGGGTGAAGCAGCAAAATCAATCAGACTATTGCAGAAGCATGTTTTAATTGGTCATAAACAAGTGAAAATATATTTACTTTGTACTTAGAGATCATTGCAGAACAGATCTACAATTAGCACCTGCTGCTTCTTTTTTTTAACAGGACTTATTTAATTAAAAAAGGGCAAATTCAAAGTGGCAGGTACAAGCCAACGTGGTTAAGCACAAGCCGACTTTCAATTAAAACCCACAGTAAAGGAAAAACTGAGCAAAATACTAAATCTAAACTTACCTTGTTTGCACAGACAGATAAAACTGATACTGACATCCAATGCGTTTAATCTAGCCTTACTGGAAGGGTCACATTAAAAAAAATCAAATGTTTACTACAGTTATACAATTAAAAAGCTATAAAATTAGAATTCTAATTTTTCAGTCACATTGATAGACACAGAACTGAACCACTCCTGTACACGACTGCATGAACAATTTGAATACATGGGATTATTTGGGTTTGCATATCACAAGTTTCATGCTTCCTCTGACCGCACTTTATTTTACACATTCTAATGGGCAGATCTGACATGACTAATCACCAAAGATTCGACGTTCTGCTTTAGTTGTTCAAGGTGTTCTAATATGTTCTTCTTAGTGATGATCCCCAAGACATTCCTGAAACAGACCATGTTATGCTAATAACTGTGTTTGGCAATAAAATGAAGCAAATCACATTTGTATAGCGTATATATATATATACATTATATATATGCACACAATATATATATACTTTTAAAAGGCACACAAAACAATCCTAGCAGCAATGAAATGTTTTTAAAAAACAGGTGCATGAGTGTTGTCATGCACTTTAAAAATATTCAAAATCGAGCAGAATAGACTTAATTGGCATTAAATTACTTGTGCCATATTAATTCTTAATAGTGAAACATTGATTACTCAAGAAGCTATTAACCGCAAACATATGCAGTTAGTGTTAGGTTACAGAACAGCCTCTGGAGATGAGCTTTACAAACAAACCCGGGGTGATAAATCAATATTATTGGCCTTGCCCCATTGACTACATTATTATTGGTTGTATTTTCCCTTGCCTCTCCACAAACCTGATACCCCACAGTCCATTGCTGGGGTAACCATATAGGAAAACAGCTGTAAATTGCTTAATTCAAAGAAAGGAGGAAAGAAACATGCACATCACTCTTCAAGCCTCTTGGCACAACCTTTCATCCAAATTCAGTAGCAAATACAACACAAACAGTTTAGACTTATTTAGCACCTTTTCACATAGGATAACATTTGGAAGCGGTTTATGGAGACTGAGTGGTAACCCATGCAAGGAGGGAAGTAGTTAAAATGCAGGTTTTAAGCGCTACGATGTCCCATTTGTTGCAGTTTTACGATGTTTTCCATGCTGTCAGGGAAAGGAAATGAGCAAAATGCAAGAATTCTCAGAGAGAGAGAGGGAAGAGTTATCTGAGTAAGTCTTGTAAACCTACAAGCCATCGGATGTAGTTCAGCAGCAATAGCAAAAGCCTGAAATCCGGTTGTCAGTCCGCTAAGCAGCTGCGTGACATCNAAAAAAGGCAAACAATACTTTAATTAGAAAGCACGTGCATAAAAGCACTGGTTTGGCTTTTTGATTAATGTTCACAAATATTTCTCTATTGACACTTGATAGACCTCCTCAACAGTTCTTATGCCCATCACTTGGGGCTCTATTTGTAAACGTATTGGAATTACCATAAGTGGGAATGCGCAGCTAATAAAGAGAGAGAGAGGGAAGTGGCGAGAGTTTTGGGCGGGAAGAGAATGATTGAGGGAGAGGGGGGGAGAGAGAAACAGAGGGGGATGGAGAGTGATTGAGGTAGAGAGAATGATTGAGGGAGACGAAGCAGAGAGGGAGAGGGAGAGAAGCGGAAATAGAGCTATTGAAGGAGAGGTGAGAGAGAGAGGGAGGGGGAGTGAGAGCTAGGGAAGAGTGATTGAGAGGGAGAGCATGAGGGAGAAGGGATGAGATAGAGAAACTGCGAGAGAGAAGCAGAGAGAGAGAGAAAGGGGAAGTGTTTAGTGGTTCTCAAACGGGGCAACCGGCCCTCAGCAACCAAAAGGTTGGACCACCCTGAAACATGCTTTATTTATTATTCTTATAGAACAGTTCTGTTTTGAAACCTGTTTGGTTGTCTCTGTACAGTATGTTTTCTGCACATGAGGTGCAGTACTGAGAAGTACTGTTTATGGAAAGAATGGACTACCATAGCTTTAATATTCATGGGTTAACCATGTTACAGAAACCTTGCCTGAATATCACCAGCTAGTTCAGTACTAGTGTATTTGTTATGTATGTCATATAAAATCAGACTTATTTATAACTTTACATAAGGCATATATGATACGACTTGTGCAAATTTGACATAACTCATACTTTGCATAAGTCATTAAATGTATGGTCCCAACTGATACGACTTATGTGAAGTTTACTGTACTGTAATAGCAGCTCTATACCTGTTCAATAAGTGCTAAGTTCCCCCACAGGAAACGCCTACAGCAATCTGACTGGAAAACAAAAAATCCTAAATACAGAACTAACCATTAAGTCTGGGGTATCAAAAGCAGTGGCTTCAATATAACTGCCACAGGTTTTCTATTAAAAAGGAATTAAGCTAAGTTTGGAAAAGTGCATCTTTAACTGGCTTCTGTTGGCAACATTGCATCTAACATATTGATTCAGATAATGCATCATCTAAAGTTTAATAATATTTGAGAAATCTTTCACAGCGAAAGCCGATACAATACTAGGAGGAAACATCAGAATTTTAAGTGGTTTACAATATAACTATTACATAATATACTTTTTCCATTTAATTTACTTTTTGACACAAAACACGTTGTACAAATGCACAGTCACAAACGAGGCCCATTCAATCATAATTGGAGTAATGCAGTATGTCATTCAACCAGAAGATGGCAACAGCACAAAGTATGAATGCCAACAGCTGCATATGGTGCCTAATTCCACTGCTTTTCTTGATAAGTGCTGCTATTCCACACAACAATGTACATCAACATTGTCAATCATGCAATTAAGTGGCGTTTTGGTTCTCCCCTTCCCCAAATTAATTACATGAATAATAATTTGCACAATTTTGTGACTCAATCCAGTTTCACTGTGGCGAGGGCACTGGCCTCAGATATTGTACGTAATGCAGTGCCTCAGCAAAAAACAACTTCACTGTCTTAAAGCCAGGATATGGATTCCAAGCCATTCGCATCACTCTGATCTATTCATCTGACAAAGGGCAATGATCTTTTCTCTGAATTGATAACCAAGTCCAGTTAAAACAACACACAAATTGGTTTAATCCATGAACTGGAATCCAAACAAGATCTAATGGAACACGAGATTAGATTATTATTGGTTTATACACTTGAAGGACTGTTTATCTGTAAATGGGTCTTAAGTATACGCAATGACTTACAGTGCACACAATGATGTACATACAAACTTCCAGGTGCGCAGTACTGTATTTAGAATTGGGAGCTGAAGCAGATAAGAACAGTCACTCCTACACATTGGATCAAGGCAATCTTGGAGGAGGCCATTCGAAACACTGTCTGGGCTATAACTGGTATGCAGGCAAGGGAAACCAAAAAAGAGAATGAATGGTTTATCTACTCGAAAAGTGGAGCTGCATAAAAAAAATGAAATATTTGTAACAAACCCACTACCAAATGTCTAATATACTTTCAAATCATCATACCTTACAATAAGCTTGGAATATCTATGACTTGCATAATAGAGGTCAGTTTCCATTGTAGAAATTGCTACACCTATATTCATTTGGGAGATTGTATCATGTGTTTGAATAGTAAACTCCACCCTACTCTATACACTTCTCACAGTATTAACAATGAAAAGTGATGCAATCTATACAATGCTTTTGCTTTGTGTTTCAAATGCAGACCATCAAGTTACTCCATCCCACTCTCCTCAGAATATGGTCTTGACCTGATGGAGCACCGTGCTATTGACGCTAGCCCCGCTGCACCAAACATAACTGCTTCTCCGGTGCCCAGTCATTGTTGCTAACAGCAAAAGATAAAGAACAAAAGGTGCAGTGCAAACAGAGACCTCATTAGCGCTCCATTCCTACATACCAGATATCCAGATTTTGCAATAGCAGCTACTTATTTTACGATCAATTTGAACAAAGGTATTGTGAAGCAATGCAGCATTACTTGTACATTCAGTTCTGTACAACAGGTCTTTTCAGGCAGAATTACTGAAGAATTATAGGAACAGGAAAAGTCTATTGGGCTGAGAAAGCTCATCTTTCTATAAGTTTCTTAAGAATATAAGAACATAAGAAATGCTAGACGATAAAAAGACCAAGGTCCATTTAGTTTGCCTTCCACCTTTCTGGCGGTCGCATGCACATATGTCCCAAACTACCTATGTACTATATTCCATAAGGTTATTTCCTAAAAGAAAACTGTTTGAAAGATTAAGGAAATAATTCCGAACTACAGACTTACCCATTATGAGTTACAAGGCACTGCCTTAGGCCCAATTTGCGAAAGATGTCCACTACAATCTCCATTGGTGTATGATCTGTAACTGTGAAAGGACTCATATCGAGAATGCTGCGCAGCTTCAGTGGACGTGGACTATCTGCTGGAAGTGTTGGGGTATGTTGTGTGAAATGAACTCTTGAACTGGTGACAATACCTTCTTGTTTTCTTCTAGCGTTTTCTAATAAAAGGAAAGACATTTTCAAATCATAATAAATGTCAACCATATAAAGCATATTTCTATTGTCTAGGATTGTTATGGACTCGGGTTTTGAGGGGTTTGGATGCTCTGAGCACACACAAAGCCGAAAACCGAAAAGTGAAACAGTTTAAACTTTACTTCATAATAATACTTGCATTTGATAAAGCACCGGGTTCCTACTTGCTGCTTGGTAAACAGGCATGTGGAGCAAGGAAACTTGGCTAACGTTTCGCCATGGCTGGCAATCAAACCCAGGTTCTCTCGCTTGCGAGGCAAGGTCTCTTACCAATATGCTACAGGACTCCATAAAATTACCAGATTGAACTAGTCATGCCTAGTGTTAAATTAAACTTGTTCTTTTAATTAAACATATAAACAATTCATGAGCAGATTCTGATGGAATTTTAATACTTTGCCAACGTGATATTTTATTATATGACCCCCACAGTTTATGATACAGATCCATGCTGGCTGATTTCTTTTTTTTTTAAAAATGCCTTTTTTTAAGTTTAATTCAGCAGCATTAAATCTGAGGCAAAAGTCGTTTTGTCTGCAATAAAATGCTTCTTGCTTTTTTTCTTTTAGATTATAAGTTTTTATACACAATAGCTATTTGACAACATACTCAACTATACTTGATAGGGGTGGGTAAGCAGAACCTTTATGATTCACGGTGACCAACGTAGCAAACAGAAAACAGTTTGCTCTGTCGTTGTTTAGTGATATAATCCTTAACTGGGTAGGCTACTTTACTCTAGGGCACTGTTGATAATTAACCAACTTGGAGTCTTCCTTGCATGTCGAGTGATTCAGGAGAACCCTGCAAACCATGTCATTTAGGCTGATCCCAGCTGGAAGAGCAGCAGAAAAATGACTTGTGTCTCACACTGGTCTGCTCTGTAAATTGAGCTGGTTCTAGAAATGCCCCAATCCACACTCTGGAATTCCTTAATGACATGGCTTCTGTTAAGACATATTAACAAAGCAAGACATTTCTTCGCTAACTGAAATAAGGAACATCGAATAGCAATTGCAGGAATGACAGGTATCCTGACTCACAATAGCACAGAGCATAAGATTCCCCATCTTCAGATTCCGCCAGAAGTCGAAGGCCTCTTCGACCATGCCTACGATCACCTCTCCCCTCCCACTGGCTCAGCGTCAAGCTCCAGCACTATCAAACGCTCTGGGACACTACCCTGTGTGAAGGGTGCTATATAAATACAAGTTGTTGTTGTGGGATGGAAAGCAGATTGTAGCAATCCTTGACTCACTACTCTCTGCTCAACTAGTCAAATCCTTAACCCTTTGCTAGATTTATGTTGTGTTTATATTACGCATTTGTCTCCTGAGGCAATCTTGCAACTTGTAAAGTAAAATGTCAGGCTTTCCCAGCACCAAATTTGGGAAACCCTACTTAGGTGGCAGATCTCTCTTTACCCCTGCATTCAGAAAATCTGATCAGTAACGATAAGATGCTGTACCCGAGTGAATAGACTGGGTGACATTCCATGTGTGCTCCATATTTTGTCATCACACAACAAATTTAATTTATACAGCTCCATTCACGTCAGGAGGACACACCAAGGCGCTGGACAATTAAGAGTTGGGGGTGAAGGGTAGGAGGAGTGCAAGGGTAGCCAAAAACATGATCAAAGTGGAAAGTCTCAAGACAAGCAAGGGAGGGGGCGAGGCGGAGGGATTCCAGGATGGAGATCCAGAGGGTCCTGGCAGAAAAGATGAAGGATTATCACAAATATTATAAATTAAATAATCTTTCAGAACACACAAGCATCACCAGGTATTTTTATGCATGGCAAAACATCATCAAGGTTTTTTCATGATCAATGCTATCCAAAAAGGCAGGAAGATGTGGATTGTGATGCATTACATTAACGATCTATGGAAATGCAGAACTCATACCTAATGCAATGGTGATGTCTCTTCGTAATGCAAATCCAACTAGTCTTTGAGACTCTTTTGATACAATTACAGGAAAACCATTGTACGTTGTTTCATTGATTGTTGCTTCCAGGTCTTCAACCGTCATATCATCCTGGGTCAAAACTGTCAGAGGAACCTCATTTCTTCGGGGTCGCATTACATTTGCAGCTAGTGTCGTGTGAGTAAATTCTTCCTTAGCATCCAAGAACGGGTACCCGTTCAAACGAATATGTGCTTCGTAAATGCCTTCTCTGCCAAATGCATCACCCACCCACTTGCTGGTCATTACTGCAGCCATAAGAGGGACAATGTACTCCAGCCCCCCAGTCAGCTCAAACACAATGATCACCAGTGAAACAGTCATTCTCGTCACACCACCTAGTGCAAAAAAAAATTGTTCAACAAGAGAAATTACCATTTCTTACCAGTGTTATATAATTGTTTCTCTGCCTGTTCAATATCTACATATAAATTCAGAATTTGTACTGCCAATTTAATTGATAGTAAGTGTGATGGGAGGGGTTAGAGATTGAATTTTGACCCATACACAGCAACTTGTCAGGTGATTTTTCCCCACTCCTTGCCACATACAGTATCTTCTAAACTTTGCAATCTGTTACAGCCAATGGATACCTAGACATGTGGCCAGGCTTAAGCATGAGATAGCAACTTGAAAGTTTAAAAGATTCAATTATCAAATTGAAAATGTTTTAGAATCATCACAATTTTCACCCCATACTGCAGGTAAGCAGCTCTGCACTCAATTCCGATGTGGCAATCACTACTGAGAACCACATATTCTTCAGCAAAGGATCTTGTGAAGCAATGATATCTTAACTCACGAGGCCTTCAGGAAATCACCCTCTGTTGGCCTTAACCTACCGTTGCTCTACAAACCTCTTTCGCTGGATGTTAATTCAGAACATGCAAAATAACTCAATTTCTAGATCTTGTATGCAGTAATCCTCAATTTTACCTGGGCTGTTATATCCGTGGCAATTTGAAATTACTGTTTAAATGGGTGCGTTAATGGAACACTTTTGCAAATGTCTAATTATTGCTCTGCAAATATGGGAGATTCAACAATACGATTCCATAAATTGTTTATTAATTAAGGTTTCCTTTCTGTTAAAATAAGCCCTACATCTCCCTATTCCAAAAGTAATTCCTTCCCCCGCCCTCCAACATTTACAGCACAATGATGCTGCCTTGACTTGACTGATGTGGCAGAGAAACATAAGCAAGGCTGTCTAAACTCCTAATGATTGCAAATATATGCACCACACACTAAGGCAGCATTGCAACTACCAGGCACAGGCTATTCTCACAGGAGAATTTCTCCTGATCCTTTCTCAGACCTTTGAAAGTTCCACTGTTACAGGATTTAAAGAAAAACACGATAGGAATTGAGTTTATATTCAACATTAGGACAGAAAGGATTTGAAGTATTTAGCAAACACAGCGCGTCTCAGCTTGGACACCGTTTCTCCAGATTATGAATTTAATGATTGTTGAAAAAAGAGACATTTATGAGCAAAAAATGTTTTCAACTATTATGACTCCTGATCTATCCCGACTGAACGGGCAAGTCTTTAGCAAATCTCTCCCTGCTCTCTGGAACTCTATCCTGGAGTCCTTTTGCCTTGCCCCTCCCTTCCTTAAGATCCCTCTCTTCAACCACACCTTTGGTCATCTTCACCCCTCTGCTCTCTCCCCCCTCCCCCACCTTGGGCTCCCAGTCAGTTGTGTGAAATGCTTTGAGACATCCACTGATAAGGTGCTATATAAATTGCTGCTGTTCTAATGGTTGCAGTGAGGAAGAAATGTGGCAGCAGAAACCTCATCAAAGGCATTTGGGACATTATTAACAGTCATGTCATTAAAACTGCAATAATTGAAGCAAATTTGCCTAATTCAATCTCAGTGCTTCAAGTTTATGAAGACATCTTTCCTAGACAATAGTACATGATGCAGACAGAGAACAGTTCCTTTCACATTAACAAAGTACAGTGAAACCTGTCCATCAACTACTCAGGGGACCTGGCCTTAGTGGCCTTTGAGAAAGGGTTTGTTTTTGTGTTGTCTGTGTCCGGGCTGTTCCAGGTTGGTTGTTTAAACAGGGGAGATGGTTGTTTGAACGAGTTTGACAGTTTACTTCAAACTATTTCTTCCCCTTTGCTTGACTGTTTCCAAGTTGATATCACCACTATGCTGTGTTTGATTGTTGCTAAAGTGAACAACGGTTGAATATTAGGTGAAAAGCACACTAATGTCCCACAAACAGTTGTAGATTGAGTGACCAAATGTTGTATAGTTTGCATCTCTAACATCAGTTTGTGTTACTAGTCAGTTCTGACCAGTAAATATTAAACCTACCCAAACAAGCTGCAGCACCAACCATAGCATAGAGACCTGGAGTGACACAGTCTGCTCCAACATTACACCACTGGTTAAATATGAACCAGTCATGATGGTGATAGGCTAGCTGCTCCACCGCAATCCCCACAATCCTACCAGCAATGGCACCAATCGCCATACTCGGTATGAAAAGGCCTGAAGGTACCTGCAAAAACAGGGGGAAAATTCAGACTGAAACAAACACTGGCCAATATGACTTGTCATTATGAAGCACTTCAGATTTCCGTTTTAAATTGTTCTATTTATCTCACATACACACACACACACACGACACACACTCCCACCCCACATCCAATCATTTTAAAATGTTAAACATATTGGATCCAGACAAAAAGCCTTAGGATATCAACTTTGCATAAAATAGTTTGACTTCAGTCACTTACATATAATCATAGGATCTAAAGGGAGACTGGTATTGCGATTTATTGTAATTCTAAACTCCAATAAAAAACACCATCACCCAATTTCTTGCACAGATTTGTTAAGTGAGAAATTCAGACTCGTGTAAGTAGCTAAATTGGCAACAATCTCTCAGCTTTAATGCAAAAATGTTACAAATAGATTACCTTAATTCCAAAAGTGAAGATGGTCATAATAATTTTGAATATAAGCGCGAGTGCCAGTTTTCCCATGGCATCATAGACTCCTTGACCAGCTGGTCGGTCTGGAATGTCATCCACCAGTTGGCTGACGTTTGTGTCGGTCTGATAATCACAAAGTGATGAGGACTCCAGAGGGCCACAGTCAGTGAAAAGTTCTTTGATCAATTCACTTGTGTTCTTTCTTGTGTACTGATTGGGAAAGGCGACAACTGCTGTAATCACAGTGACTATGATAACTTCCAAGACGGGGAACTTTCCAAACTTTGTGGTTTTCCGACGCCTGCACCAAGCGAGATTAGCGCGAATAAAGAAGGCTCCCCACAATCCTCCAAATACTCCCAGGAGGATAAAAGGAATCAGTTCAAATAAATACCAGGGAGTATGATACTCCACATAAAACAGTACCAGGCGACTGTTTCCAAAAGGATTAATGGAACGCAACACAAAAGCTGCCACTAAAGCAGCAAAAAATGACCTCCAAAGAGTTTTCAAGGGAAAATAGTAGCTAACCTGTAAGAAGAAAGCAATGTTTTAGGTGATGAAATAAGCAAACTGCATAATGTTGATCTTCCAAAATGCAAGTACAATAAATAATTCAAAATAGTAAGTCAAGTCTTTCAGAGAGCCAGCACAGGCTTGATGAGCCCAAAAGTCTCCTTTTTGTGCTCCTTTTTCTACATTTAATCATGGACTACTTTAAAAACATAAATCCTAATTAACTGTCAATCATTATAGGCTGTGCATTCTGCCAAGATCCAATAAACTGGTGAAACTGGCTCAACGGGCTGAAGTTTTTTGTTACGTTTCCTAAACCGATAATAATTTCAGAATATCCAGATTTCAGTGTCACTATACTGTAGCCGGGGGAGGGAGGAAACTCATTTCTCCATATTAATTTTAGTGTTTTTCTTGTAATGCACGCAAGTATGAAAACAGCAACAAATTACATTTATATGGCGCCTTTCACATCCCAAGGTGCCGGTGGTTTGTACCCGAGTCGAGGTGGAAGTCAAGGGGGCAAAAAAAATGACAAAAGCCGGAGTCAAAGACGAAGAACCGACCTTGAAGGCTGTGAGGGAAGGATGAAACATAGAAACTATACCAACTATTTTCCTAAAGCATAATGCTTTACAAAATAATTCTCTTTATGTTTCTGTAAACAGAAGTAGCAAATAGTCATGAATGCTGAACAATTTCAAAGCTGTTTGCAATTGAAAAATACCAATAATACCTCTTCTAAACTGAACAATACACCACCAATTGGAGCACCAAAAGCCACAGATACTCCTGCTGCTGATGCTGCAGACAAAACCTGAAAGAAAAAGCAATTAGATTGTCGATTAGCATAAATTACCCCCCAAATATATTTTATGCTGTAAGAAATGTAAATGCCTTTGATACAATAAACCTGGGGTACCAGTGCTGCACTTTACTCATGTTGTCAACCAGTCAGTAGCTGGGACAATCCTAGTCTTATTCAATGTAGGATTAAGTGCCAAATTATACATCAACCTCTATCCTTGGGAACAAACCTATTTCTTGATCCATTTCTCCTCCAGTATGTTCATGGTTCTATTAACTGATCGGAATCAGGTATCAATTTTACGAAGCCCGGCACTAGATTGTATGAAGTGAAACATGGTCAGCCAGCAAAGTATCTGGATGTTGCTCTAAATGTTGAGGCTTGGAATATGACACAGAACTGGCAGTTCTTTTGTAATGTCACAAAACTCTAGTTCTTCCTTTGAAGGTCTCTTACAATGTCACTGTAATTGGGTTACAATGGTCAAATCTAATTCGTACACATCTAACTTTATAAATAGCTATGTTTGTCCAATGGGCCAGTACAATATACACAAAAACAGTTTGTTACGCAGATGTTAAAAGATGTTACTAAGATAAACTGAAATTCTTCTATTCGGGCCAGTTAAGTCTCACACTTTTATCGTTATACATCACCAAAAAATTATTTTACACTAAACAGTTTGCTAAAACCATGTAGTATTATCAAGTGAATTTAACAGCATTACTGCTTTTAAATGGTAAGAAATAAGAAAAAATGAGAATGAGAAAAAGTCATTTAAACTTCAGAAACTCATCACCCCAGTCCATTGACTCAATACAACTGGATTTTGAATAGTCTCAATGTTTGTGCTTATAACAAGATTACTGCTGGATTATCACACACATTGAAGGCTGGGCAATTTTTTTGCTGACAGCTTCCAAATTTACTTTCAATTCCCATTAGGCCCCCTGGTACCACTTTCTCAGTTTACTTTGAAGTGATATTCTTGGTTACTTATCAATATCATTGGGAATTTTTATACTTTGTCAAGTTGAACACTTTGCTACCTTATTTCTAAATCTAAACATGATAAAACTTACCTTTTTGGGGGTTCAGCTGAGTGTCTGACATATGTACTCATGATCCTCTTAAGCATGGTGATACATTTCCACATGTGTCAGGCACCCATCCGGCAGGGATAAACAAAGCTGAATATATCTGCATAGTTGGGATCAGTATTGTCGCTCTTTGGCGAACCAGTTCCAATACAAATATATTTTATAATGTGGCATGGTAACCAAAAACTGAACAGAGTATTTGAAGTGCAATCTGACTAGTGCTTTGATGATGAACAGCAGTATTCCATTAGTTTTTAAATTGCTTCACTTTATTATCTAGATACAGAACCTACCACAAGTAAAACTGTTCTGCTCATCGCTATGAACTGCTCTACACAAAAAGCACTTCATTTTTGGTGGACAATCACCATGCATGGCACTGATTATCAGTGCCTTGGGACGTCCTCCCGACGTGAAAGGCCCTATACAAATGTAATTTTGCTGATTTTGCTTTTCCATCAAATGTGATAAGAATTGGGGCTCCATCGCAATTCTCAATGCCAGAGCCTCCACTCATATTTATATATTTGGCATTGATTAACAGGATAGGTTCACATCCATCCAATAAATTTAGCATTTTGTTTGTCAGGTGTCTGCCCAGATGGAAAACTTTTTTTTCTTTACAAGTTTCCCTTTGCATATCTCAATACATTTATGTTTATCGCACAATACATACTCAACCTTTCGGACACCTCTAGAAGATGGTCTAAGCTCAATTCCTGGTCTTCATTAGAAAGCATATTAAACTAGAAGGCTGGTGTTTGCGCTGTTTCCTTCATTACACTTAATTCTACCATTTCCTGAAAGGATGCTGAAAAATGTTTCACAACTCCATAAAAGAACATTTCATTTTCACATAGCATTTCATTTTGGTTTCAATTTTGCTTTAATCTATTACAATAAATTTCAATGCAAGGAACTGCACTAGGAATATTACCTCTCGTTTCTTGGCTTCATTTTTGTTGTATTTAGGGAACAGGTAGGAGAAAATGTTACCACAGCAACAGGCCACGTGTACCAAAGGGCCTTCCTTCCCTAAACTCAGTCCTGAGGCAACAGCTAAAACAAGAGTGATTGTTTTAATCAGCAACGTCCATTTCCCCAGGTAACCTCGAATGATGAAACCACTCAGTATAGTTTTGATCTATTAAAAACACAAAACACATTTATTAAAAGAATGAAAACATAATAGACATTTTTTGTTCTTAAAATACGTATTCTTGAAGTATAAATCTTCAGTGGTACAGCACTATACTCCGTGCTTGGAATCATTTTATTTTCTCATTATTACCACTTATCTCTTTTGCTGGAGTTTAGCTCCACAAGCACTTCCGCCAAGAGGTCTATTTTCATGGACAAGCTGAGAAGATGAACATCAGTAGGCTATTTGCTCATTTCGCCCACAAAATACACAGTCAATTCACTTTACAGTATATTCTGTGATGTGCTTTGAGACGTTGCAAGACATGTTAAGGCGTTATATCAAATTCAAGGATTATTATAGAACAATACCCAATGAAAACTAATCTTCCACTGTACATACATATAGATGGCAATAAACTTACTGGTGTAAGTTACAGCCCATTGCCTTTTGGACGTTTGTCAGCATTTTAAAGCCATTGATCAACAATCCTTTCATTGGCTATTCTCCAACGAACACAAGTTCAGGTCTATGAGTCTCTCTTCAAATCACCAATCATTCTTGTCACTCTTCTCTGAACTCTCTTTAATGTATCAATGCCCTTTTTTTCGGATGGGTTGTTCAAAATGCAGCCTTACCATTGATATACAGGTTAGAATAACTTCTCTCAAGTTGTTGTCAAATCTCCACAAAATGCAAAATCAAAATATTGTTAGCATTGTTAACAGCAACCGTTCATTGACATTGAATGATCATCCCACATACTTGTCTATTACTATCTTTATGAATGGAGAGCCATTTACTGCATTAAATTTATTGTTACGAAATTGACAAGATTAGAAAGTTTTAATGCTAATCTGTTTATAGCAGGTGTACCATACTAGTAGTGCAATATAGATGAATTTTGGTGCTAACCAGCCGGTTTCCCATGCTAAAACATGGCGTCCTTCCAGATTAGCAGGTCAGTGTTGTTGCTTTTTGCGTGGGAAGTCCCACTATCATTTCCCGCATGTAATGTGATCAGTAGTACAGATACTTCCTTAGATTATTTAACATTGTTGTGGGGAAAACAAGTGAAGGAAAAATAAAGCAATGTCACCTAAGACTGCCAATGGCCAACACTGGAATAAGTTTTCAAAAATAGTTTTTCAATCTCACCTCAGGAATTCCAGAACCACATGCATATGGAGCAAACACCTTCACCAGAGAGACGGCCAAGAAGGCAAATGACAATGCCCAAAAGATGTACATAATGTAGTTCATTATGTAAGACCCTGGTCCCTGCAAGAGAGATTTCATATTACACTTCTAGGATTGGGAAAAATACTGTTATTGTTCATATAGCATTGAAGTTTTACCAAATATTTACAAGCCTGCAAAACATCTCAATGATACACAATAATTGCAAACATTTCTCATTTTTCTTTCATTTTTGATCTCATTGAGTTGAGAAATTTTACTGTTATGAATAGAGCACTTTCCCATTTCAAGAAGCTTTCACACCAAGACCAAATGTGTCAATGGGATGCTCTCTTTTTACTTAATGACTACAATATGGCTTGAACAATGGATATCAAATCAAGAAAAGTTGTGTGAACTCATACTCATTCAGAAGCAAATTCACATAAGACCCTTATAGCTAATAATACCTAATACTTAAAACTAAGAAACGACATAACAGAAGAAAACCAAGGTCAGGTCCCAGATGCAAAACAATATTTGAAATGTTTTGCATAATACAGAAAAATGGAGACACTCAAACACATTTTTCAGTCCTGAGAAGTTACGTTTGGTTTTCAATAGAATTATTTTGACCCCGTTAGAACCCTATTTTAAAGAAATGAAAAACAAATATACAAATACTGCATTGATGCTGGAAATAAGCAAAAAATGCTGCATTTCTAATAGATTCATCTACTAGTCAGTTAAAAATACAAACCAATAGAAACAGTTTAAAATGTATCCAAAAGCAAAACGTAACCTTTTACAGTAGCTCAGCAGCAAGTGATTGTACATTTGATTCACAACCAAAAATAGTCAGCAGAACCGCAGGACTGAACGAAATATCACAGTATTAAACTTTACCTACTTTGTCTTTTTCATTCCATGAAAAATGCTGAGCCTCCAGATACAAATGCAAAATTAAGGTCCAATTTGATGCTGTTCATAGCAAGAGTCAATAATATAGGGACAAAAAGGGAAATCTTGCCAGGAACAGGAAGCGTTAACTTCATATGCGGGTAACAATCTACTTAAAAAGTCTATCGGAACCAAACAATCTATTTGCAGTCCATTAGGACTAAGTTCCCTTGGGTCAGTGGTGCACTTTGGAAAACTACTGTAACTACTAGAAAGACAGGTGGAAATTCCAACATTAAAATAACCTTCATTTATATGTGTAAATGGGACATTCTCCCGACTTGAAAGGCGCCAAACAAATGTAATCTTGTTGTTGTTGTAAAGACAAATGTAGTATCTTCACCTATGCACATAAAATTGGTCATTTGAGTGAAGTACTAGCACGTGTGTAACTGATTCACAGCTTTCAGATGTTGGGACAAAGAAAGAAATTGCAAGAAAAATGTTCCCCCAAAGGGTCTTATTTGCAGGCGACAATAAATATCACTTAAAAATCTCAGTTATTATTCATTCGAACTCTACTTACATCAGCTTGTCCAATTATTAGCTCGGCCCATGTTTTCCATTGGGGACATTTGTTCCTCGCTTCAAAGGTCGGTTCATTGGATCCCCAGCAGCACTGTTCATGATTAAACCACATTGCATTCAGGCAGATGCCTTCCTTCATATCAGTCATCCAGTCAGCAGCAATGTCTATTAAACCAGCCAAGGCACCTGAAAATGATTAATTTCATAGTTTTACCATTAGTTAAAAAATGAGTGATTCTGCTTTATCTTTTGGCTTAATTGAAACTGATCAACGTAAACTCATATCCACGTTAAAACATGGATGCAAGTTTATCAGTTTTTCTTGCCATAACTTTAGATGTTTGAAAGAATTTCTGACCATAATGGGGAATGAACTTAAGAGGCCTAAAAAGTTAAAATACAAGACACACATATCTGTACTTTTTCAAAAAATGTACTCCATACCAATTGTGGATATCCATGATAGGATCAATAACAATGGAGGCAAATAATAAAAATATTATTACTATAATAATGAATGGTCCAATTCAAGAAGGAATTGATTAGCTAACTGGCAAGGAAATTGACTGAGGAAGAGACAATGGAACATACAACATTTTTTAAAAAGCCTACATAGGAAAAGGAATAGGCCATTAGCTCATCGATCCTGCTCTACCATTTTCTTAGATCCTGGCTGATCTGTACCTCAGTACCAATTGCCTGCGTTTTCTCCATACCTGTGCCCCTCACCGCCCCCCCCCTCCACACCCCAATATCTTTACCAGACAAATATTTATCTACTTTCCTCTTACACTCCCACCAATGGATTTCTACAATCCATCAACTCTAAGACTTCTTATTTCACTACTAACCAGTCCAGCTTTAATTTTTGGATTATGTCCTTTTATTCTGGATTCTGGAACCACAGGAAAGAGTTTCTCCTTATCCACTGTGTCAATTCCCTCTACTATCTTAATCACCTCAACCTCCTCTGTTGGACACAGCTGAAAGCTGCAGGTTGAAAAGAGAGAGCACTCACACCAAGTTCAGCACTGGCAACTGAATTATGCATTTGTGAGATTAGAAAGGCACCAGATATTCATTTGTGACATTCTACATATCTTACCTGATGCCAGACCAGTCATTGTTACAACCAGCCATCCCGACCAAGCATCATATAGGCTTTTTATGAATTCCCACACAGATTCTCTCTTCTTGCTAGTAATCTGAAATGAATAAATATCATATTATGGACCAGACGATGAAATCTTTGACCCACAGAACTTGGTGATTCCACCATGGACCTCACAAATAGCTTAGTTAAGTGTTTTACTGCAACTCAACACCATGATGAGTATTTCTTTAGACTGATGGTATGATGGGAATGATATTACAAATCATTTTAAATATTCCTTCTCCTGGTATCAGTGCTTGTTGAAATAAAAACCAGTCACACAAACTCCCAACCTGAGTAATTCTTTTATGGGACATCACGACTTCTAACAACTTATCTTCATTAATCTGCTTTCTTTTAAATAATAATAATAATCCTTGCATTTGATATAGCGCTTTTCACGTCTTCTAGACATCTCAAAGCGCTTCACAGAATATACTGTAAAGTGAATTGATTGTATATTTGTGCGTGAAATGTGGCAGCCAATTGCGCACAGCAGTGTCCCACAAACAGTCGTGGATTGAAGTGGCCAATTTATTATTGTTTTTTTCTTGATGGATTATTATCAGGTGTGTGGAGTAAGGAAACTTGCCCAAGGTTTCTCCCTGCAGGGAATCGAACCCAGCTTTTGCGCTTGTGAGCCGAGTGCTCTAACCACTGAGCTACAGGACTCCACTACGACCTACAGGCTTTGGAATCCCAGTCTTATCCCAGAACCATTCACTAAGCTAGTTTTCTCTGCCTCATACCTCAACATTACAGGAACTCTCATGCATACCTTGGTTAAATACTTCAGACTTTACTCTTCCAATCTCTTGCTCATCAGCTTCCCTGTTCTACCCTTCGAAAGCTCCAGACCATCCAGAACTCTGCCATTTCTGAATGCATTCTCTCCCGATCAAGTCTCCACAACCCCGTCACCCCCATCCTCACCAGGCTTCACTGGCTCCCCAGTCCCCAGTAATCATGTTCAAGATTGTTGCCTTCATGGCCTTGCCCTGCCATATAAATATAAATTTGTATTGAACTGTATTTGTAACAACATGAGTGAACAACATTGGAGGTGTTACTTTCCATTCTGCTCACACAATTCCTGTCAGGTAGACTCTTAGCCCTGCTACCAACGAAAGAGATGCGAGATGTCTTAACTGAGGCAAAAAAAAAATACAAAATGAAATAATTTGTACAAAATACAAACTTCTCAGCTCCACAAATCTCTGTGCAGATGAGAATGGCTTGTTTCCTTTTCCCTTAGGTTCATATAATTATTAAATGAACTTACCTCTCTGTGTCAAAAGGAAAGTGAGTCAATGTTTCGGGTCCACAACACAACCATTCTGTGTCGTTCTGATGAAGGGTTGTGGACGCAAAACGTTACTCACTTTCCTTTCTCCATAGATGGCTGCCTGACCTGCTGAGTGTTTCCAGTGATTTCTGTGTTCGTTTCAGATTTCCAGCATCGGCAGTATTTTGCGTTTTGTTTACCTTTCTGTGTCGTTCTCGATCTTTGCATTTTTCTCGCACCCAGTCAATGGTGTGAAAATCATCGTAAGTTCCAACACCTGGGATAGGCTCATCCAGCAGATCCAATAAATGCGTGGAGCTGTTTATACCACCTCCATTTGTCATTGTATAAGTGGGTCCTTTAACAAAAAACAATAGTTTCACCTATTAAACGGTTTCCTTTAATTGGCATTGTTTCAATAATCTGAAAACATGTTCCACTTTTAAATGTCAAGCAAAGCAGAATTCCTACAAATATACTATATTTTTTACTCAAAGCACAGTGGTCTGACAACTGTGGGTTATCACCTATTTGGAGCAGGCAAGAGTGGGTACAGTGACAGAACAGGAATATCCTTTTTTTCTCACCAGCTAATTGACAGGAGGCAAGCCTAGCTAAAATACAAAAAGTCAATGATATAGTAAATTAGAGCACAACAGCTTGTATTTCAGTAAATCTGAATTTTGAAGCTTATTTTATGCACTTGAAATTATTTTATACACTAAATTGTTCTAAATTCAACGTTACAATGCTGTAGCTCAACTTCTGCTTGAATTAAACACAAACCAAGTGCTGCTTCCATTTGGCATAGGAATCCTAGTTAATCTTAGACAACTCATAAAAAAACAGAATAATCACTAAAGATACACAAGACAAGAAGCGGTGTAGAAAGACGTTCTGCTAGATATAAAAATTCAGCATAGTGTTATAAATCTTCTATTTCTTGAGCGTTGCAATGGCTGCTTTTATTTTGCCATCGTTCAGATGAGACATTAAACCAAGGTCCTGTTTGCCTGTTCAGTTGGATGTTAAACATCCCATGGAATTATTTGAAAAGAGAAGGGATTTTCTCCTGGTGTCCTGGCCAACAAATCATCCAAATAAAATTGGTCACTCACTCCATAGCTGTTTGTGAGACATTGCTGTGTGCAAACTGGCTGCCACACTTCACCCACAAAATACAGTCAACCCATTTAATAATGTATCCTGTTAAGCGCTTTGAGATGTTTCGATAATGTAATATCAAATGCAAGAATTTATTATTAATACGAGCAGGTAGACAGGATCTCGGATTCCAAAGGATGCACCTCTGACAATACTGGGCATCCTCAGCATTGCACTGGAGTGTCAGCCTAAAGTCAAAGTCCTATGGGCTCAAAGTCCTGACCTGGGGCTTGAACCCTCAAACATCTGACTCAGAAGTAAAAGTGCTATGAAATGCCTCCCTCGGGAGGTATGCAGGGTCACTATTGAGCCAAACCTCCTCTAATTTGAAATGCCCGGCATCGGATAGTCAAAAACTAGTCAAGTCTCTGTGGCAGTTTTGGAAGTTCAGTTCCTGAGACAGACCTATATAGAAAGGGTCTGAACCTAGGATTGTTCATATAAGTTGATCTGAAAATCAACTGTTAGAATTTTACTATGTTGATTTCGATACACAAATACTGCACAAATAGCAGCTTTAACTCCAAGAACCCCCCAAAAAACTGTTCAGTTTATAGATTACATGATTGTACACTTACATCGTAAGGCTGTACAGGAAAAGAATAACTATTTTGTTGGTCTGCATAGACAAGCATAAGCACTTCGTTGCTTTATATAACAAGAGGTCTGGAATGTGAAAGTGTTCCTTGAGTAGTATAACGAACTGACTAGAACTAATTTGGAGTATATACATTCAGTTCTGAGTACCTTATAATAATAATTGTATTTGATACAGTACCTTACCACATCAAAACATCTTGAAGTGCTTCAGAGTTTTTTCTGTAATGTGTGCTTGCAGGTGAAAGCAACAGCCAATGTGCAAACAGCAATGTGATCTAGTGGTCAGTGCCTGGTGGTTGAATGGTTTGGCATTCTCACTGCGCGCCCGGGTCTGATTCCCTATCATGGTCTAATTGGGCCTAATGCCCTGCCTTCAGTTGTATGATTTTATGTAATTATATGTCCCACAAACAGCCATGAAGTTAATGACCTTTCTAGAGGATAGTTGGACAGGATACTGGGAGAAACATCCTTCTCTTTTTCAATAGTGCCACAAAAGTGTTAATGTCCACCTCAATTGGGAGATGAGAGTTCAATTTAACATCTCATCCGATGAACACACCCTACAATACAGTGCACCCCCCAGTAATATCCTGGGGGTTTCAGCCTGGACCGTGAGCTCAGAGAACTGAGTAGGGCTTGAACCCACAACCTTCTAACTAAAGAGGTGTGAATATGACCGACTGAGTCAGGCTAACTGACCTTAAAAACAATATATCCGGCTTGGATATATTCACCAGTTTAATACCTAGGATGAAAGGGTTTAGCTGTATTGACAGACTAGGTAAAATTAAGTTATAATTTCCAAACGATGAGAAGGCTATCTTTCAAATCGTTGCTTCCGCTGTTTTCACAATTCTGCCTTGTGCACATCACTTTCAACATTCGATAGCACATCTGAGATGAACGTACAGGAAAGGGAGCAAAGGGAGAAAGAAGAAATTCATTATCCTAAGATTAGACATACTTTAAAAACAGCAGGTTGAAGAACACTGTAACAAACAAACTCCCGCTTTGTTAATTTTTTCTGTTATTCATACCCTTTTTGCTGAGACTGCATGATAGTGGAGGAGGAAGTTCGAAGAGTAAATGTTAACTGTTAAAATATTAACAGTTTTAAAGATTCTTGTGATGTAGCACTTCTTAACACAATGGTGCAATAAGTCACATTATTTCTGAAAGCGAAGCCCCATGGAAACATTATATTAATATGTTCATGGTTAATATCAAATTGTAGTCTTTTGGAGACAAGGCTGTACCTATTATATACTAATTTATAAGTATTTCAAGCAAAGGTAATCAAAAGTTGCCATCAGTTGGATTGAAACTTACAAAAGTCTGCTCAATGATCTATTTTATACAATTGAATTAAGAGGAAAGGGCGTAAATTCACATGAAACTGACTGCTCAGAACAGAGCCTTTGTAATTTGTGTGTCAGATTGGTCAGTGGTAGCACTCTCACTTCCGAGTCTGAAGGTTGTGGGTTCCATGAGAAAAATTAATACACTAAAAATATTCTGGATTACTTAAATGGAGAACAAAAATGTCCCAAATGTAATACAGTACAATGGAAGTCTGACAGATTCATTTATATTTGCGCACAATTCCACAACTGGTTACCTCTGGTGACCTTTTCAACTCAATGCAGAACACCATGATATAATTAAAACATTCTTGCAATTCAAGATGTACCTTCCTCAATTCACATGGGGTCCATTTTAACTGGCGTCCTACACGAGGTTCAAATCCTCAATATATAGACCTTGCGCCCTTTTAATGCTCTCCTTGCTGTCTTTGGATCTCGCCCTTGAGGAGAGGGCCATGTAACCCATAGAGGTCTTTAGCCCCGATCTTGTACAACCTTGTACTCCATGATTTGCAAGTCACTGTAGATTTCAAAGCTTCACATTTCAGCATTTCCCCACTACTGTGCACATAAACAATCTGCAGTATCCCAACATTACAGTGATCTGAAAAAGCAAGGGAGCCCGAAGCAGTTAGAATACGTGCTGACAAGCACATCTCAAGCATGGCTGACCCAGAATTTTCCAAAGAATGCACAAAAAGAACACATTCACCAATACACATTCACCAATGACCGAGAATTTAAAAATACCTCATATGAAATTCTTATTTGGCCATTTTGAAAACTGATTTTCTTAATATGATTGTTCAGTTAGTAACTAAAACCTCTCAAGTATAAACCAATTCTGTAACAATATGAAACAACTATAACAACATATTGCGTTACTATAATTTATCCCACTTCTTGGATTCTAATGTAAATGTACTTGAAATAATTATTAAAGTATTTAAAAGACAGTTTTACATTAAACTCCTAATCTGATTCTCATGACTGTTAAAACTGGCGCAAATGCTTAAGTAACAGTACACAGATTAGTGAAAGCATTCATTGTAAAATGGTCTCGATTAAAGAGCTCCATTATGCTGAAACTGCCCCACCCCTTAACCAAAGCAACATACCAATAGAAACTGTGCAATCTGATTAAGCCATTCTAAATGAATCATGTATTTGTTTCAGTTATTTGCTGTCTCTCTAAAGTAATCAAAAACACAAGCCATAAAAATTGCACTTTTTGAAATATTTGCAAAGAAATGTCACCAAACTGTGGAGGAGGATATCAGCGCACTTCACTACATTCAAGTGTCAACCAGACTGTGTCCCAACATCCTGACATGGAGCTTGAATACACACCTTTGACTCCAGAGGTGACAGTGCAACCCCCTGAGCAGGCTTATACCAGACGTCTCTTTTCAGGGTGGAGAGTTCAAACTTATCCAATTGTTCCTCTATCACTTGGGATCAAACGTGTTACTTTCCTCTGCACTGCCTCTGTTCTCTTATGTCACGATGACCATAACTACACACAGTATTGCAGGTGTGGCCTGACAAGTGCACTGTACAGCCTGAGCACGTCAGCCTTACCCAAGGATCTAACCTCAACTGGTTTGGCAAGATAACCCAGCATCCTGTTTGCTTTGCTTACTGTTGCCTCACACGATTTCAACATAATGAGAGACCAGTCAAATAATATCCCTAGTTCTCTTTCAACCGCTCTTAACAAATTTAATCTGTCCTTAGAGCACTCGTGTTTCATATTTTACTTCCTTCATGTAGAACCTTGCATTAGTCTGTATTGAACTTGGTACTTGCCAGAGATCAGCGAGGCACATACCCCGTTGAGCTCGGTTTGTAATGTCTTCTATTAAGTTGTTACTTCTAGGAAGAACTTAATGATCAAACGCCTATTCTAATGTCATAAGCCATGTACAGACCATGTCCTGGAAAGTGCTCCAACACGTCTCAGGGTTGAGATAACATGGCTATATACCATCTTAACCATTAAATCAATCACTTTGCCCACAGTGAATTCACTTTACGGTATATCCTGTGAAGCGCTTTGAGAAGTCTCAAAGAACTGATAAGGTGCTTTATCAAATGCAATTATTATTATAATAATTATTATTATCACTATCATCATCATCAGAGCATATACCAAATGCATTACGTTTCAAATATCAAAGTAGACACAATTTCAGATTGCTATTGGAAAGAGAAACAAAATTGAAAA